TTTTGTGTGTGTGTGTGTTGGATATTTTTGAGATAGGGTCTCATAAACTATTTGCCTGGACTGGCTTTGAATTGAGATTCTCCTGATCTTTGCCTCCTGAATAGACAGGGTTGCAGGTGTGAGCCACTAGAGCCTCCTAAATCTTTCTCTTTTTAAATTGGTTATCTTGAGTATTTTGTTACAGTAACAGAAAGCTGACTAACAACACTGCTGTTGCCATCCAAGTAGATTCCTTACCTTACTGCAAGCCCTGGCTTGTGCCCAGCACCCTGCCAGGAACACCTTTCCCCACACCCTCCTGGCTACTGATGTTCTTCAGTCCCTTCCTCCTGTGGCCTTTTCTTTTCCAGCTCACACATAACTTTTTCTCTACAGATTGCTATGTACTAATGGTTGGCATTGCTCATGTTGGTTTAAATAACTGCTAATCCCATTGCATTGACCACAAATTATTGTCAGTTTTGAAATAACTTAAAGGTTGAGAAGGGGCTGAAGAAGTGGAAGCCCTTTCCTCTAATCTGCAGTGTGCTGCAGTTGTAAGTTCAACTCTCGCTACTTTTATGCAGAGCCCCAATGAAAAATAAAGCACACCTACATTTTACTTGACTAGGTTGTACTTTTTGACCACACTAATCACAGAATGATTCACTGTATTATGTGTTTCATGAGAATGGTTGGTGTCCTGAACTAGTTTTTAAAATATAATTTGAAATAAATCTAGAACTTGACCACTTCTTACCATCCCATCACCCTAGTCCAAGTCACCACCATGTCTTAGCTGGATTATTTATAGCAATAGCCACCTAACTATTTTCCTGATTCCATCCTCTCTGTTGACTACTCTCAACACAGTAGCTAGAGCAATGTTATTAAAGTATGCATGTAACATTGGTTCTCTACCTAAAGTCCCAAATTGCAGAGCCTAGAAGGCTCTCACTGGTGACATGTGCCTTGATATTTTCTTTTTTTGGTGGCACTGGGGTTTGAACTTAAGGCCTCATGCTTGTTAGGCAGGTGCTCTTACTGCTTAAGCAACTCTGCCAGCCCTTTTTTTGTAATGTGCTTTTTCGAGATAGGGTCTTTGAATTATTTGCCCAGGGCTGACTTTGAACCATGATCCTCCTGATCTCTGCCTCCTGAGTAACTAGGATTACGGGTGTGAGCCTCCAGTGCCAGGATTCACTCCCAACTCTTGACACCATCTGTTTTTGCTTTCCTGCAGGCTTGATTCACTTCACGCACATTCATCCTGCCTGCTTTGTACCCTGGAGGGCTCCTCCCCAAGGACCCTGTTGTTAAGCATCAAGGTTCAAGCTTTCAAGGTTAGGCTCAAGCATCACTTTCTCATTGAGGCCCTTCCTAACTACCCTATTTGGAACTACAGCCCCCAACCCCAGTACTTGTGACACCTCCCTTTTCCTTTCTCCTTTTTTTCATTTCACTGTCAAAATTACTATATAAGCTTCACAGGATGGGGACTTAGTCTGTTTTGCTCATTGATGTATCCCAAGTGTCTAGATTGCCTGCACATGGCAGGAGTTGAAGAATTCTCTACTGAATGAAAGAATACTCTCTCAGGGCAAGGCTATGTTTTAGAGCTGAGCCTTGCTCTAGGGAGAACAAGTGTTCATGAGACACTCGGACAAACCAGGCGTGGTATGCAGTGAGACTTTGTTTCACTGGTGTGGGGGACAGGAGATCAGGGTGGTAGCCTGGCAGCCAGATTATGCTTGGTTTCTTCCCGCTCCTGGTCTTCTGCTTAACTTCTTTTCCCTAAGTCCTATGGAGGTTTACCCTTCTCTGGGGATCTTTTGGGACCCAAGGGAGCTCTTGTTAGTTTGGCTACTTTAGGGTCAGACCTGTGTAGAGGCAGAGGGATGGCTAAAACTGACCTTCCAGTATTGCAGACTTCAGGGGAAGGTACCAAGTGAGGAGGGAGAAGAAAGGAATAGGTGTGGGGACCTAATTTGTGTGCAGGGAGAATAGCTGTGTGTTGTGGAAGGGAGCATCTTCCCCTCCCCCTCCGTCCCTCCAGCTGTCACATTCAGCTAGTAGCTCTGTCTCTGTGCCAGCAGTGGAGCCACAAGGGCCGCAGCTGGGAGGAGAGAGAAGAGCTGGGCAGTGGGGTCATTTGTGCTTGCTGGCGAGGGCCCAGCCAGCCTCCCTTACATCCTCTTATAAAGGGGGCAGCTTGATCCTGTTTCTAAAGGGTTACAGCCTCCCCTCTGGGATTTCAGACTGGTCTCACTGGGACTGCAGGGCAGTGGGGCTTTGTATTCCTCTGGGGTCCTGGTTCCCTCACTCAGGAGGGTAGCCTGATGTGTGTGTATGGGTCTTGGATGAATCTGAGGTGGGCCAAGGATTAGGATTTACAGTCTGGATCTGAGACATGAAGGAAATTTGGGGTCAAAGAGAACATCTGGGCTTGCTTCCACAGCTAATGTCTGATACTTCCTCAGGCAGGAAATGCTTCAGCATCAAATCCGCCTGGGAAGCTGTGAGAACTACACTTCCCAGCATGCAGTGCAGCTGGCCTCAGGGAGAGTGGGAAGGCCTTGGGGTCACATTCTGAGAAGCCCTGTTATCCTCCGCAGCTGCAGCAGCTGTGCATTGTGTCTGACCATCAGGGAGGGCCTCAGCAAGCTGGAGGAGGCTCGGATGGAGCCGAATCCTCAGACTCGCAGACACGCTGCCATTTGCTGGGCCGGAGACAGGCGCATTTTCCCTCAGAATAGCCACAGCTCCTATTTGCACACTCAACATGAAGACAGTGGCTTGCCTGCTTAACTGGCTCACATTTACACACTCACAGAAGCACATAACCACACTCAACCTGGGCATACACTCTTGTAGACAGACACTTGCCTTGAAGTTGCACCATCCTTGGTCTGAAGAATTTCTGACCTGTCGGGCAGACCCTGTTACCACACACTGGAGATGAGAGCTGGGACAAATACTCTGTACCCTAGTAGCCTCCTTACCCTGCTCTTGGGAGTAGAAGAGAAGCCTGGCCATTCTCCCCCTAACGCCCCTAAGGATGATATTGCACCATCTGGTGTCTTTAGTCTGGTCAAGGCCATACCCTGTACCTGACCCCACCCTTGGCATCAGCCCTTGAGGAAGAAAGAAGAGGGCTCCACTGGTGTGTGATCACTGGGCCAAGGCTCCGAAATCATTCCTTAGCGTAAGGGCCCCAGAATTGGGTTTCCCTGAGGCCCCAGGTGCTATGGAAATGCACACACAAATTCTATTTGGGTTTGCCACCCCAGTTTTCTCATCCCCAGGCCATGACCTGGGTATGTTGTTTCCCACTAGGTGTCACCCACTGGTGCCCCAAACACTCAGTCTAAGCTATGAGCCTGGCCACGCTGTTTCCCTGTGAGCCCTCCTGAGGCTCCCTGAAGTCCTGCTCCTTCCATCCCTGACTATCGCTAAAGCCACTTGTCTTCCAAGTGCTCCCCCTGCCTGGGCACCCAGACCTCCATTGCCACCACTCCCACCCCTTTGCAGGCCTGTTCCTGTGTCTGCATGGGTCTCTGTGCAGCCTGTGAGGCTCACTGCTCTTGCCCTTCCCCAGATGCTCTCATTCCTCTCTCCAGATGTGCCCAGGGCAAAGCTATTACCCAAATGGATTTCCAGAATGAAAAATTAAATTTCCACTTATCCTTCTCACTCATGCATTGCCTTCAGACCTATGGGGCTTGGAGCATAGAGCCTAGCTGTACCCCATGGGGGCGGGTCCCCTAGAGAATCCTCATGCAGGATGAAGGATGGTGAGGTCAACTGCTTCTCAGAAACTGCCCAAGAGTACAAGATTAAACAGCCCTGACGAGGTCCAGGCCACCTCAAGGAGTCCTTCAGAGGGGGCCCAGAGGCACTGTATGGAGAGGACCTGTCAGTGATTCAGTGAACGTCACACTTCCCCAGCTCCTGCCTAATGAGGCTTCCAACAGCAGAGTCCTGGTGTGGCCCTCTTCCAGCTGGAGCTTTGGGTAGCCCTGGCCCATCCGCCCTCCAGCCTACACCACTAGCACAATGACCAATGCAGGCAGAACAGCACATGCCTCAGCTTGACCTCAGATCCCCCAGCAGGTATTGGACAACAGCCTCCTGTCCCACACTGAGTTCCTCTCCTCCCTGCTTTCAGCTCTGAGCCCTGGGGAGTGGCCCTGCACTCTCAGCCATCACCTTTCCCCCTGGACCTTGGAAGAAGGGAGTGTGTGACTCTTCTGTCCACCCTGCCTCTGGGCTGGCACACTATGAATCCTAGCAGGGCCTCTACCAGTCCTCTCATGGTGCAGAGTAGGGTCAGTAGAAGGACGGTGCTGTTGGGCTCTTGGTTTCCTCCTTATTTCCCAATCAGCAGTTTCCCCAGAGAGCCTGGTATTGGAGGGGGAGATGGTGGTGGCGTTGGCAGTCCACCATTAGCGGAAGGCATCGCCACACCTGAGAAGTATTATTTCCACATTACAGAGTAGGAAACTGAGACTCAGAGAGGTGGAGAACTTGCTCAAGGTCACAAAGTCAAAAAGCTCATCCATAAACATACTTAGGCCAGGTCTGTGCTGTCCCTCGTTACACTGCCTCTGGGTGTTCGTTACAATCTGATGACTACTCCTCATGGAAGGCAGCCCCATACTTCCTTGTCCACCCCTCAGTCCCAGGGTCAGAGCTCAAGATGGCTCAAACCTGCTCCAGAAGGCATAAGTATGTGACTCTGCCCTTCCCCTCTGCTTGCCCACCTGTGGGAGCCTACAGGCCCTAGCCTGAGGGATCACGTAAGCTTTCCCCAGGCCATAACCCTGATACTTTCACTTCTGTAAACAGTCTCAGAGCAGGGGAAAGGGAGCTGAAGAAAACAGCAAGTGACTGTCCTGAGGACAGGTTGGTGTGCCCCGGGTAGATAGCTTCAGCTACATTTTCTACTGCAGTGGCTTGAATACCCATAACCAAGGCCACAAACTCCTGAGACAAGGGCTTAGAACCAGTGACTCCTCAGGGCTTGCCCAAGCTCTGTGCCTGGAACCCAGTAACTATCATCCAGTTTCCTGGAAGCCTGAGGTCACCTTCTGCACATGTTCCTTTCTGTCCACCTGGCAGCAACAGGAAGTCACTTCCTGTTCTAGGAGGTTCTTTTGTCACTTTCTCACCCTGCAACTAGCTCAGGTCAATGACAGTCCCTCTCGTGAAGTTTGATAGCAATTTACTCTGTCTTGTTTTGATGCTTCTATTAATGACAATGATAACCACAGAGCCCTGGCTGTTTATGGAAAGACTGATCTGTGCTAGGCTACATGACCTATATTATGTACCATTCTGACGGAAGCCTTTCCTTCAAGGCAGGCCACACTGTCCCCATTTTACAGATGAGGCCTGTTCAGGGTCACATTCCATGTGAAGTCTCCCCGCCGAATATACTGGTGCTTGCATTCTCTTTGCTGAGAGGGAAGGTGACTGACTCACCTCGTCCACGTTGACAGAGAGGAAGATCAGGGGAAACAGCAATCCTGTCCAGTTGCAGGACAGGACATACAAACACTGTGGCTTTAGGCTGTGTCTTTGCTTCTGCCTCCCAGCTTAAGGCAAGCCTTACCCAACAGCCCTACAAATTTCTTCAACTGCAGGTGCGGAGGTTGGAAGAGACGAGATCCATGTACAGACCTGCCCCTCCCAGCCAGCACGCCGTGGTGTGCACCTTCTGCTGGCAGATCCCTGGGCAGGCTCTATCCCCATAAACAGCATCCTGGCACCTAGCACTTCCTCCTCCCTTTTGCCCCTCTCAGGTTGGGAGTCACCTTGACTGTCCCATACACCCTTAAATAAAGCAGAGAAAAGAAAAACCAATGGCCAGAGCTTCAGGGAGAACCAGAAGGGCAGGAAAAGGAGACAGAAACTTCCCAGAATAACACAATCCAAAGGTGAGGGATGCAGGTAGTGGAGGAACCTGAGGGTAGCGAGAGGCTGGGGAAGACCCTGCTTCCTACCTGTGATATTGACCTCCACCTGGCCCGAGCGGGTGCCAATGGGGTTGGTGGCCTCACAGATGTAAGTCCCTGCCAGGCTGTAATTGATAGGTCCCCTGAAGAAGAGGGTTCTGTTCTGGGCTTCCACGCCTTTGGGGAGAGAGCCATTCAGCCTGCGGGCATTGGGAGATACAGTATAGGATTATGACTCTTCAACCCCAAGAAACTACCTCTGGGTCATCCATTTGGCTCCCAGCCACCCAGTCCTTTTGCTGAGTACCTGTGACAGGGTCTGTCTTAGAAGGAGGAAGAATACAAACAGTAATATTCTCTTGCATTTGGCAGAGATATTATTCAATATATTTGATCGTCCACTGAAATGTATGCAGGGCAGGTGGGTACCAGTCCCACTTAACAGATGAAATTGGAGGATTAAGGCCAAGGGAACACAGATAGGAAGTGGCAGAATGGGAGCTCTAGTCAAGTCTTTCGTTTTGTTTTGTTTTGTTTGGCAGTACTGCCTCACGCTTGCTAGGCAGGTGCTCTACCACTTGAGTCACTCCACCAGTCATTTTTGGGTTGGGTATTTTCGAGATAGGGTCTTGTGAACTATTTGCCTGGGCTTGCTTCAAACTGTGATCCTCTTGATCTCTGCCTCCTGAGTCGCTAGGATTATAGGCGTGAGCCACTGTTCTAGGCAGGTCTGTAGACTTCTGGTGGAATGCTCTTTCTACTAGTCATGGTATCTGGCTGTTGGTAACCTTGGTCTCTTAGGTACTGGTTAACAACAGAGATGCTGGATCCTGACCCCAGAACACCTTAAGTGCAACTGCAGCGGTAAGGGCCTGGGCACCTGTATTTTTAGGAATTGCTGTGCTCCATCTCACTATCTTGTGTTCTTGCTGGGCACAACACAGGATTTTTTCACGTAGGGAGCGTCCTGAGGGTTGGCAGAAGACGGGGGAACTTCTTCCTTATCCAGATCTCCAATGCTACAAAGCTATTACTCAGTTAACCTGAGTGTACAGAGCTGAGTCGGCAAGCAGGCTCTGCCCGCTTGCACGTTTAGAAGCATGCTTTGTTCCCAGAAGTGGAGGATATCAGGTGGGGCATACTTCACGAAAAAAGCTGTAGACTCACTCTGGCTGTTGCATCAACTTCCTTGGCTTCCCCCACACCTGTCTCTGTGAGCTACTTCTAGCTCTCTTTTGGAGGAGCCAGGCCATTCAAACAGGAGAGACAGAACCTTCCAAGGGCTAGGTCCCAGACCGTGAAGCCAGGAATGGGATGTTGGGGCACAGGGTAGGCATTCCATGAGCACAGGTGTTCAGGGCTCACTGCTACCTCCACTCCCAGAGTTTGGGAGTGCTGTTGAGAAGGAATAGGAACAAAGAAAGGTTTGGGATGTTCCAGAATGCCAGCTTCCCTGGGGACACCTCGATAAAAATAAATACTGGGGGCTGGGGTGGGAGTGACTCAGGCTGAATCACCAAAGGAAAATGACAAAGTTCTTTATTAGTGAAAGGAAAAGAAGCAGATAGTGACAGGAACTCCCACTGGCAGGACAGATTGTCCCACTGACCCTGGCATTCAAGCATAGAGGGTGTGTGTGTGTGTGTGTGTGTGTGTGTGTGTGTGTGTGTGTGTGTAAAGCCCCTTCCCCCTTCTCATCAAACAACCTGAGCCCAGACCCTAACTGCCTCCCTGCTTAAGGCTCCTGGGTCCCCTGTGATCCAACAAGGTACATTTTGAGCACTTACGTAGTCCAGTGGTACTCCGTGGCCGGAGGGTTAGCATCAGCTTTGCATGTAAGCTTCACATCCATCCGTTGCAGGTACCAGTTGCCATCAAACCCCTCAATGGTCACCTCAGGCTCATCTGTAGGGCAAGGGATGATGTTCGGAGAGCGAGGTCAGCAGAACAGGATTTAGGGCAAAGGAGTGCCAGGTGGGGAAGGGATGGAAGGAACAGTGACATGGAAAAAGGGAGAGGAAGATGGTGACACAGAACCTCAGAGCAGAAACAGCAAGGAGAATGGGAAGGGGGAGAGGCAGAAGGGCAGAGGGAGGAGATGGGGAAACCCAGCATCCTGGGAAGGGAAAGGGAGGAGGACAGAGAAGAGGTTGAAAAGCAAAAAACAGGAGGAGTGTGGCGAGTAGGGTAGGAAGGGGCCACCCAGTTCCCGGCCCTGGCTCACACTGCACGTTCAGCGTGAGGCTCTCCTTGAAGCGGTCCATATGATAGTTGACGATGCAGGCAAGGGACTGCCGGTGGGCTTCCCGGCTGGGTACCAGGCGGTAACGGCTGATGACCGTCACTGTGCCATTTGGATTCCGGATCTCCTGGTACTCCGCCTCACCCTTTAGCCGTGTTTCCCAGGACACCACACTAGGAGGTTTCCCATTGGCTGAGGTGCAGGTGGCCACCAGGACCTTGTCGTCCTGCCCCTTCCTGGCTCGAAGCACTGCCTGGGTACCTTCTATCCAGTTGGTAGGTTTGGCTGTGGGGAACCAGAGTAGCAGGGGATCAGCCCTATTGTCTGTGAAAGCTAAGGAGGCATCCACTAGGCCTCCCACCTCTCAGCTGCGCTTCCCCAAAGCTCCAGGAGCGAATACGTGTGTTCCCTGCTGTGCTATCTGTCAAGATTCTGCCTTCTTGAAGTCTTGGCTTGCTCAGGCCAAGTGGCTCCTTACCTTACCATGGTGATTGATGCTTCTGCCTGCTGCCTTGCTACCCGCAGAGTGTTCCATGGTGGGGGTTCCAATCTCAATACTGATTCTCTACTCTCTTTTGAGAATAGTGTGGTGGTGGGGATTGAACCCAACATCTTGACAGAGCAAGTGCTCTACCACTGAGCTACATATCCCTTACCTTATCTGATCCTCTACTCTGTCTAGAGATAAGTCTCCTGCCCCAATTCCTAGTGAACTGTGAGCAGCCTGGCTAGATGGGACTGGAAGCGCCCTGCCTGGAGCCATGGGAGCATATCTATCCAAGCAGGATGGTGGAGTCATTGAGCCCCACGCTGGGGATGGCGAAGCCCCTTGGTCCCAGGCAGGAAGGGAAGAGTCCAGGCTAGCTTACCCATCACAGTGAGATTGAGTTGGCTCTCACGATTGCCAGTAGGGAAGGTAGCAAACTCGCAGATGTAGACACCCTCATCCTCCAGTTCCAGGCGGGAGAGACGGATGGTGCCATCGATGAAGGAAGGCCTGAGGAACTCTACTCGCTCCCGGTAGGGAGCCAGCACGGAGACACCCATGGCTGGGTTGTAGATGGCCACATTCTGCTTGGAGCCATTGGTGGCCTTCTGCCATGTGACCTGGGTGATCTTCACACTGGGCAATGGGTTGGCAAAGCTACAGTGCAGTACCACATCTGTGCCAATGAAGCCATACATGGAGTCATTCACCTGTACCACCTGCGTGTAGGTTCCTGGCAGAGGGGACAACAGGAATTGCTCATTATCAGACACTATTCTCCTCTACACCCCTCTGTGCTCAGGTTTCATCTTTTATAGCAGTCATTAATTTTTAAATTCTTCTTATAAAAATATTAATTACTTGTTATAAAAATACTCTGGGCAGTACTGAAAAATTCTAAGAAAATGATACCATCTCATGATCCTACTGTTTGGTAAGATCACCGATAATCTTGTAGGATCCATCTCTTTGCCTTTTCTCTATTATCTACATAACCATCTATGGTTCAGAACAAAGTCAGAATCATACCATACAGAAGTCTCTACAAGCTGCCTTTTCGCTTAGTGACATATTATCAATATCTCTCCATGTTAGTAAATATACATCCACACCCTCACTTCTTTTTGAGATACAATCTTGCTATGTAGCCCAGGCTGACCTTGAACTTTTTTTTTTGCGGCACTGGGGTTTGAACTCAGGGCCTCCCACTTGCTAGGCAGGTGCTCTTACTGCTTAAGCCACTCTATCAGCCCTTTTTATTATGATGGATTTTTTTTGAGATAGGGTCTCCAGAACTATTTGCCTGGGGCTAGCTTCAAACTGTGATCCTCCTGATCTCTGTCTCCTTGGTGGCTAGGATTACAGGCATGAGCTACTGGCGTCCTGATAATTTTTTTTTTTGGCGGCAGTAGGGTTTGAACTCAGGGCCTCACGCTTACCAGGCAGGTGCTCTACCACTTGCATTACTTCATCAGCTGGCCTTGAACTTTTGATCCTCCTGCCTCAGCCTCCTGAGTGCTAGGATCAGATATGGTGTGTACCATCACATCTGACACACCCTCATTTTTTGATAAGGGTCAAATGCCCTTCTTGGGGCTTTCCAGCCCATGAGCCATGAGTCTTCATCATTTGGCAAATGGGGAGGATAATCCAGGTCTCTCCACCTCACGGGGTTGCTAGGAGAACCAAATGGCACAATGGGTGAGAAAGTAACGTCTGGAAGCAGGAAGCTGTGGGAGAGTGTGAGGGCCCACAGTGGCTGACCTTATGATCACTGTGTAATCTTCTCCCTCATGGCAGGGTCTACTGGCTCAGCCCCTCTTAGGTGGCCAGTGCCCAAGGTCGGAGAGCCAGCCTGTATATTCATGTCTCAAAGCTTTAACTTGGCTTTTGACATCCTCGCTGGTTGATTTTGTTCACATCTCTCCAGAGGTTGGGCTCTCCAACCACATCAGGCGGGGCTATCCTTAGAACAAGGCACATTTCTGGGTTTTCTTCTCTCCCTCCTTCCACTTAGCTGAGGACTATTTGCTGAATGACATAGGCCAGGATCTGTCATCAGCACTTGGGTCACATCAGCCTGGCTCCCAGGAAGCACAGAGCCTGTCCAGACAACACTTTTAGACTCCTGCTCATCAGTTCCCTCAACAGAAAGGACCCCTCCCGTTCTCCACCCATGGAGAACCTGCTGAAGCGTCCCTGTCTGCTCAGTCAGAGGTAACTGGCCACGTCTATTATAGCTCTTTCTGCCTTGGAATATTGCTTATATACCTAACTTCTCCACCGGCCTGCGAACTCCTCCAGGGCAGGGTCTATGTCTTTCCCACCCCTCTGTCCCCAGTGATCAGCCCAGCATCTAGCATACATGGCAGGCTTCTATGTTTCGTTCTCTCTAGTGCTAGAAAATAGTTGTTGCTGGATGAATTGCAATGGAAGCCAAGAGAGTAAAGCTTTGTAAGAAGGAGGGAGCAACTGGTGGTGTGGAATGAATGAATAAACTCCCTCCAGTCTCCCCATGATTGCTCTATACCATCTGGAATGTCTTCTGTTTGAGTCTCTTTACCCCTGAACTTGGCTTGGCTCCTCTAGCCTAGAGCAGCCATCCCCGGCCCTAGGCTCTGCCCTCCAGCTTTCTCCAACCTGTGCTCATCCCTGAGCTGTCCAGTCTCAACAAGCTGCGTCATTGCCACACATTTTTATACTTTGCATCCTTGCATTTCTCTCACTTAATCAATTTATTGAGTGCCATCAGTAATATCAATAATGCCAGGCCCTATCCTGACCCAGAGGCAGGGGTGTGGCCCCCAATGGAGTCTGGGGTCCAAGAGTGGGAAGTTGGGACTTCCGCCTGCTTCCTCTGTGTGATGGAGATCAGGAGCAGTGTGGGCCCCTCTAAGGGAGCCAAAGCCTGTGGTCAGTGAGGTACGTTGCTCTCTTTTCCTCCCCTCCAGAGGGCACAGGTGTCTGTGGTATCCCAGGTGTTTAGCACACAGCAGGCACTTCAGAAATGCTTGGTAAACTGGGAGTGGTAGTGCACACCCATAATCCCAGTACTCTGGACGCTGAGGCAGAATTTCTAATTCCAGGTAAGCCTGGGCTACATAGACAGACCCTATCTCAAAAAAGAAAAGAAATGCTTGCTGAAGAAATGTATCTTTGGCCCTCAAGCCAGGACTTTGCCCTGATCTGTGAATTTTGCCTACTCATAGCCACACAGTCCTTTAAGGACCACCTCTCCAGCTGGTTCCTTGGCCATTCTGTGGGTGCCTGGGACCCATCTGACACCTCTCAGGTAGTGGCAGTGTGGGCTGGAGGCAGTACTAGGGAAGAAGTGCCTCCCACAGTCAGGGGGCTGGACTCCTATTTGCCTCTGCCTTTGGCTGGCCATGATGAGACTTTGGACAGTCACTTCCCCTTTCTGCATCCTTTTCCCTCTTCTGCAAAGGAGCCGGCAGAGCTCCCAGTCTCAATGCTCAGTTCTGGCTCTAACTGTCTGACAGCAGCCCAGCCCATGCCCCACCCCAGAAGCAGTCCCATAGCAAGGTCAGTGGGTCAGATGGTCCAGCACTCTTGCTGACTGGCTGGGTGGTAAGCAGCTAAGCCCTCGATCCTCCCCAGTAGGATGGTGGGTGCTCCCTGCCCCTCCCCCAGGCTCCACTCCCCAGACCTGCTGGAGGCTGCCCAGTGGCTGAGATAATGTGGGCCTAATTGGGGAACTTGCACCATACAAAGCCAGGAACTGGAAAAGCCAGTTGGGAGGCTTGAGACACAGGTAAGAGTTGGGGGAAGGGGTGTGAGCACTGAGTGCTATCTTGGGATTGGTGCCAGGCATGGTGGGCCTGCAGCAGAACATGGTCCACCAAACCCCTGCCACACCATCTTCCTTCACCCCCCTGCTGATGTGAGGGCTGGCAGGGGACAGGCCCTGTCACACAGGCTGACATTCACCCACTGCCTCCAGCGAGGCAGTGACCTCACCCATCAGGGCAGACTAGTACCAGGAGGGGAGGTCACAGATGGCACCTTCTGTGGGATGGGAAGAGCACTGTGAGGGACCTAGGCACCTTGGCAGCAGGGCCTCCTTACCCATGGGTCTATGCTGGTGTGGAGGTCACGCTTCCCTCCATTGGGGCTGTACCAGAAGCAGCCATATGGTGGGGCAGTGAGGAACACTCCTCCCAGTGTCCCCTTACTGTGCACACATTGGGAGCCCCTGGCCCTTTCTGTCCCAACAGTGGGCAGGGTGGGGCAGGGAGGACCTCTAAGATGCCCACTTTTGCTCTTGCCATGCTGGCTGTTAGCAGAGCCTGGGAGGTGGCCCAGGGGTCGGCATGAAGGGCTTTTCAAGTTTTGAGGATGGGGAAAGAGTTCTGGAGCTGGGAGGGGCTGGAGGATTGGCAAGGTTAGAAATTCCCTGTACAGCCCCCACCTCCCCTTCCTTTCTTCACTCTAGGCTGAGGGAGCTGGAACCCCAGATTCTACAAGAGGCTGCCTGGCTTGGTCCAAGCATGCGGCATGGGGGTCAGTGTCCCTAGCTTTTAGACTGAAACTATTGGGAGGCTCCTTGAGTGGGGGAAGGGCTCAATCCTAAAAAGGGAGAGGAGGGGCTGGGTGGGGTAGGAATCCTGAGCCTTTCCTGGAAGGCCTGGGAGAAGGGGCCATGGTTGAGGGATGCCTGCTCAGGGGGAGGCAGGGGGACAGGGAGCTGTAGAGATGACACAGCCCCCTCCTCGCCTGTCCCAGGACCCCCAAACTGTCAATCTGGAGACTGAGACAGGTGGCTCCCACCCTCTGAAGGGCTGTTCTGGTCTCCCCCTTCAGGCGGAACTGGGAAGAGTCACCAGGGTTTGTGGTCTGCCTCTGCACCCCTCAGATGTCTGACCCTGGCCCAGTGACTCTGTGGCTCAGTTTTCACTGAGGGTGCACATTTGCAAAATGGAGATTCTCAGAGCTAATAAAACTGTTGTAAGAATTAAATGGAGTACACACAGCACTTGGCACAAATTAAGTGCTCAATAAATGTCATCACCATCACCACCATCACTTATGAAGCAATAGGTCTCCCCGAACTTCATTCAAATGTCTGCTGAGCACCTACTCCATACAGGGCACTGTCCTGGGTGCTCCAAGGAAGACCTTGTGGCTCTCATCCCTTCCTCCTCGGTTCATACTTCAACCATAACCCAAAGGCATATAACCTGAATCTGTACCCCATTATTTTCTGTTTCCGGTACATGTGTGGAGTCTGTGTCCTGTGTCCCAACAGATGGCAAGTCCCTATGGGACAGGGAGGAACAAGCAGGCTCAGCTTTGGGTTGCATTGAACATATCGTGCTTAATGCTGGTGGGTTCAGGGCTCGGGGGATATCTGCTAACCCTCTCTGTTGCCCAAGCAGTAGGGGCTGCTCACAAAAAGCACCCTCCCTCTCCCCCAGCAGGCAGTGGGAACTAGGACCACTAACACAGTAGCACATTGGTGCTCAGTAGACCAGGCAATCCATCACTTAACAAGTCCAGAAGTGCTGGATCACTTGCCCTGGGATTAGAATAACAACCCCCCAACTCAAGTGTTTTCCCATTCTACCCCCAAAACAAACTCTGGCCCAATCTACCTCCCCAGGGGCCTTGTTCTGGGTGGTGTCTCTCCAGAATGTACCCTCAGGACCTCCAGCACCCCTTGTGAGAATGACACAAACACCAGTCACAATACTGGAGGCGCAGCACCAGGGTCCAG